CATATAGGTCTATGGTTATTTACAGGCAGCAAGGTAAGGCAGGAAGGCTACAGCTATCTTTAGAGAAGAACTGAACAACCTCTGTGGATACAGAGGGTACATCTACACTGTAGAATTAATGCAGTTTGACACCACTTTGACTGCCACAGCACAATTCTGTGGTATTATGGAAGTTCACACAATCATAAAGTTGGAAGTGACCACAATAGCCATACAGTCCAGCCTCCTGCCATGTAGGGACCGGCAAAGCACTCCTGACAGATGGCCATCCAGCCTCTGCTTAAACCCTCCTCAGAAGAAGACACCACCATGCTCTGAGGCAGCATGTTATCACATTGGAACAGCCCTTACCATCAGGACTTTTTCCTATTGTTTAGGTGGAATCTCTTCCTGCAATTTGAATCCATTGCTCCATGTCCTAGCTTTTAAGGTGACAGAAACACGTCACTTTTCATTTGCAAAACCTTGGATTTAGTATGAAGATATGAAGAGTAAGAAGGAAAATTCATTAAAGCACTGTTCTTTTACCACAAAATTTTCATGGATCTTGCCATATTTAATATGTTTGAATCCTATTTAAGCTACTTATGGTTTTAATATGCTGTCCTGAAATTCCACAATAAAGGTCGGAATTTAAATATCCTATTAAATAGATAGATAATGCAACAATGGATAAAAGAAATTTCTTTTCAACCCCATACTGCTGCCATGGGGGAGTGTTTGAATGAGACACAAGAGGCCAATGAACATCTGGCATATCCAAAACGAAGGCATACATATATGCAATCCTGAGTTACATGGACTTATGCTACCAACTGGCTTCCAGTTCTGGCTGTTTAGTTTTTGCGTAGTGTGCAGGTATATTAATGCAAATATAGGTAATACTCCAGATGTTGCTCAATAACAACTCTCAGCATTCCTCAACATTACTATGGTGACAAAGGATGCATGAAGTCCAACATCTGGAGCACCACATTCTTCCTTTGCCTTCTCCAAGTTGCTACAAACCAAAAATAAAAATAACCTGTAAAAATGGATTTATTGCAATCCAAGATTAGTAATATTTTAAGCCATTTCTCTAAGCTTTGATAAAATTCAGAATTATTATTTTTTTAATTCAGGCATTTTTTGATTATCATATACAAGTAAGCGTGCAACTCTGGGCTACATTTCGCCTTTAAAAAAACAATTTCCAACACAATCTGAATATTATGATTGTAAGTAATGGAGAAGCTTCGCATAGACATTTTCTGCGAAAAAATGAAGATGCAGTAAGAAATTCTATAAAATTCCCTGACTACGGCTATTAAACTCATAATTCCAAATAGCCCTTCCCTTAGTTGATCTTCTGAACAACCAAAGAATGTAGACACGTCCAGTTAAATGGATCAGTGACTTAATCACACACAACAAAATCAGTGTTTCTACACATGTAAGAATCGGCAACCCGATTAACATGATGCAAGCCTCAACTGTGGGTTCCAGGTATTTCACCGTTTTGCAAGTGTGGGTTTCCCCCACAATTTCTAAATCAATTGGCAATGAACTTGTTTTCATTTCCCCGCATTGAGACATGTAAGAACACCCTATTTAATATGTAATTGGAATCCCCCCCCCCTTGCCCATTTGTAAATTCTCAGGCTGAAAAGCACACCTGGTTCTCCAAAACTGGGATTAATGTATAAAACATTCACATATTTACAGTATTTGGAGTTCTTTTAGAGAAACTGGCAAGTCTGGATTTTGAACTCAGCAGCATTCATTGGCATCAATTATATGTCACTATATTTTTTCTTCTTATTTCCATAAACAAATATTATATCAGAACCATAATTCAGCACTCTCTGCTCCAGGCTTATCACAAAATCCATATTAATCGCATTTCATGGCAAGTCTTCGAGGCAGAGTTTTCTTGAGATCAAACTATTAGTATTATTATTTATCCACTTCCTGTAGTAAGTGTCAGTACAAAGTGGTTAACAATTGGTATCTCATTTGTCCTCTTAATAACCCTGAGAGCTGGTTAGACTGAGAGTACATGATTTGCCCAAGGCAATACAGCAAGTGCCATGGTCCAGCAGCAGAAAAATCTGCAGCAACCTAATGCGACTTTCACAGGCATATTTTGGTAGCATTTATTCAGTGGAGCTTTGCCATTGCTGTCCTCTGAGGCTGAAAGTGTGTGCAACTTGCTCAAGATCACTCAATGAGTTTTCAGGGCTGAGTGAGGATTTGAACCCAACAATCAATCCACTACCCCATGCCAGCTCAATCTGTTATTCTCAGGGTACATCTACACTGTATAATGAATGCATGTTGACACCACCTTAACTGCCAGGTTTTGATGCTATGGAATCCTGGGAGTTATCATTTTACAAGGTCTTCACCCTTCTCTGCCAAAGAGTACTGGCGCCTCACCAAGCAATGAATCCCAGGATTCCATAGCACTGAGCCATGACAGTTCAAGTGGTGTCAAACAGCATTATTTCTACAGTGTAGATCAGGGATTCCCAAGCTAAGGTCAATGGGCAGGATGCAGCCCTCCAAAGTCATTTACCCAGGCCTCACCTTTTATACCAGTGGTTCTTAACCTGTGGGCCATGGAACACCAGTGGGCCGTGAGGACAAAAATCTGGTCTGCTCCTTCCTCTTTGTTTTATTTTATTTATTTTATTACTGATCCTTTCGCACCGCCTGCCACTCCTTCCCTTTCGCTGACCAGTCCCAACCCCTTGGATAGACCACATCAGCTCCAGATTATCAAATATGGTTTTCTGTGGGCAGGCAGATGGCAACTACTGAATGGAATATGTTCTGTATCAGAAACTAGAGCTGATGTAGTCGATCCAATGTAATTTTCTACATCAACACCCCAAATAACCAAACCAAATCTAAAGTTGACCAAAAACTGATTTTTAACCCTTTTGGGACTAATGTTGGAGAGTGGTCCCTGGTCAAAGTGGTCTATGTTCAGTGTTCCCTGGTCAAGAAAAGGTTAGGAACCACTGCTTTAGATTTAGGGTTATTACACCGATTCTGCAACAACTGCATTGGCTACCTCTTACAAGATAATGATCCTGACATTTAGAGCTCAAAATGGCCAAGGACCTTTATATCTTAGGGACCGCCTCATTCCTTTTCTCCATCAGTGGTCACCTCGATCCACCCAGGAAAATCTCCTATACATACCGGGCCCTAGGGAGGTACACCTGTAAGCTACAAGATGTAGAGCTTTTTTGACCTATGCTCCAATTCTGTGGAACTCATTGCCTCCATATATTAGAGCAATGTCGGAGTTGCGACCTTTTGTAAAGGCACTCAAGACTTGGCTGTTTGGTTGTGCATTTAAGTAATCAGATCTAATTTGCCAAATAGTCACTGTTGAATGTTTTTATGTTGAATGTTTTTATATTGTGTAAATGCTATTTTAGATTGTAAGTCGCTCGTAGCACCTTGGTGGAGAGCGACTAAGAAATAAAGTGAAGTGAAGTGAAGGGTTACCCTAAATCTGAAACAACTTGAAGGTACACAGCGACAACAATCCTAATTTACTGACTGTCAGCCAAAAGCAGGCTCACACTTCTCATTAAAACACTGGTATGTTTATGTTGGTTAAAATGTTCTTCATTTTAAACATTGTATTGATCTTTTGTGTGTGTTTTATGCACTACAAATAAGATGTGTGTACTGTGCATGCGAATCTATAGTCCAGCCCCCAACAGTCTGCGGGACCGTCAATTGGCCCTCTGCTTAAAACATTCAAATCTAGGATACTATATCTCTGTGTGGGTGTCGTTATCTATCTGTATCTATAGCTGGATGGCTCTTTGTCAGGAGGGCTTTGATTACATTTTCTTGCTCTGGTGAAGGGAGTTGGACTGGATGGCCTTAAGTATTTTCTGTTGGTTATGGGGGTTCTGGGAGGGAAGTTTGCCCCAATTCTGTCGTTGGTGGGGTTCAGAATGCTCTTTGATTGTAGGTGAACTATAAATCCCAGCAACTACAACTCCCAAATGTCAGGGTCTATTTTCCCCAAACTCCATCTGTGTTCATATTTGGGCATATGGAATATTCGTGCCAAGTTTGGTCCAGATCCATCATTGTTTGAGTCCACAGTGCTCTCTGGATGCAGGTGAACTACAGCTCCCAAACTCAACGTCAATGCCTACCAAACCCTTCCTAGTAGTTTCTGTTGGTCATGGGAGTCCTGTGTGCCACATTTGGTTCAATTCCATCATTGATGGAGTTCAGAGTGCTCTTTGATTGAAAGTAAACTATAAATCCCAGCAACTACAACTCCCAAATGACAAAATAATTTTTTTGAGTGATGGTCATTCCTTGGGTTAGTAGGTGTCTTGTGGCCAAATTTGGCGGCAATTCGTCCAGTGGTTTTTGAGTTATGTTAATCCCACAAATGAACATAACATTTTTATTTATATAGACTAGCTGTCCCCTGCCAYGCGTTGCTGTGGCCCGGGCAGTAAGAACCAGAGCTTGAAACTGTTGTGCCATTAAATGCTAATTAAGGTGGCCAATTGAAACATTGTGGAAACTGTGGGAGTTGGAGTCCCAAAAACCTGGAGGGCCAAAGTTTGTCCACTCCTGGTCTACACTACCCATATAATGCAGTTTCAAGGTTCATTATATGGCAGTACAGAAGTTACATCCACAAAAGTGGGGGGGCGCACTGTAATTCTCAGGCTGAAAAGCACACCTAGTTCTAAGAATTAATGTCCAAAATGCGCACATATTTATATTCTTTGGAGTTCTTTTAGATCACAGAAACTCAGTGGGAGAAGCGCGAAGTTGTTCTGCGCATGCACCCAGCCCAGCCAGCCTGCCAGGCAGGGAGAGAGGAAGCTACTGAAGGAGTTCTATCTAGCAGCGCAGTAGAAGCACGATGAAGTTCTGCGCATGCGCCCTGCCCGCTTTCCAGACGCGATAAGAGACGACTGAAGCCTCTCGGCGTCCATGGCAACGGCCTGGGCCTTCCGGAAGAGCGAGAACTTCCGCTTCCGGTTCCTCCTCCCTGGGCGGCGTAGGGGGCCGAGTTAGGGACGGGGCGCCATGCGGCAGCTCTCGCCGCTGCCTCCCCGCACCCTGACGCCCCTGCCGGGCCTGCTTGTGGCGGCGGCGCTGGCGCTGGCACTGCTCCGCGGGGAAGCGGCCCCTGCCCCGGAGCCCCGCTCCCCTCCTCCGAAGCAGGCTTTGCCCTCGGAGCAGTTAGGCCGCGAAGAGCTCCCCGAGGCCTCTCCGGACAGCACAGGCCCTCCCGACGCGGTGCCCAGTGGCAATGGAAGCAGTAGCAGCAGCAGCAGCCTGGCCGCCGTGCCGCCGCCTCCCCAGGCCAGCCCGCCCATGACCCAGCGCGCCCTCTCGGTGCTCGTCCTCGCCAGCGCCGCCCTCATCGTCTACTTCGTCATCCGGACCGTCCGGTGAGCCCCAAGGGAGGGTCCTGCCTCTCCACCTTGACTCGACGCTCACTGCTTACTGCTTCGGATCCCAGGAGTTGTAGTTTTGCAAGGCCTTCCCCCTTCTAGTTCCGCACCAAACTACAGCTCCTAAGATTCCATAGCCGTGAAAGTGGGGTCCCTCGAAACCCCAGTTTAGGGTACATCTACACGGCATAATTAATGCCATGCCTGCATGAAGTAGAATCGTGGGAGTTGTAGTTTCACAGGGTTTTTAGCCAAACTGCAAAATGTATTGAACCCATAACACTGGGTCAGGGCAGATAAGGTGGTGTCAAACAGCATTCATTCTCCAGTGCAGATACACCAAGGTTATATCTGAGTGAGAGGTTGGCTCAGGCGTGGGAAAACTTCAGCCCTCCAGGTGTTTTTGACTCCAACTCCCACAATTCCTAACAGCCATGGGCAAACTTGGGGCCCTCCGGATGTTTTGGACTTCAACTCCCGGTAGGCTGTTAGGAATTGTGGGAGTTGGAGTCCAAAACACCCGGAGGGCTCCAAGTTTGCCCATGCCTGGGTGGACTTCAGGCACAATTTCTGAGGGCCAGATCTATTCTCCTCTGCCCACCTTTCCTTTAGACCTCTATAAGGATCTTCTTTAAAGTTTGATCCAAAGCCTGAGTGTCTTTGTGACAAATTCTGATAAGTTTGACATGAGTGTAATTAAAGATTGCAAAATCCAAAGTAGGCTGCAGTTTATAACCCATAATACTTCCAATCAGTTTGGTCCTCAGACCATAGAGCCTATCTTAGTTTTGGTCCTTACTAGCATCATGAGTTTGTTAGCTTGCTGGGATTTAGGGAAGTTGAAGTCCAAAATACCTGGAGGACCAAAGGTTGAAACTATCTAGTGTGATCAACCAAATATTATGGTAACCCATTCCGCTCCCAGTGATCCATGGTTTTACGTATTTTCATGATCCACACCAGTAGTTCTCAATCTATGGGTCCCCACATGTTTTGGTCTTCAGCGCCCACAATTCTTAACTGGAGGACCAAAGATTGGGAACCATTGTTTTATGCAGTTGGAGTGCCACATCCACAGATTACACGTCCAAGGATTCCACCTTCCGTGGTGGGAGAATATTCTCAAAATAATCCAAAAGACAAACTGATTTTACTATTTTCTGTCACTTTACTGCACTATTGTATATAACGGGACTTGAGCATTCACAGATTTTGGTGTCCATTGGCGATCCTGGAACCAAACACCAACAGATACCCAGGGCCCACTGTATTCAGTCAAAATTGTTAGCAGTACACCATCATGGCGTTCTCTCCCCCATAAGATTATGGGGATATTAAGATTATGTCACTGCTTTTCTATTTTATTTTAGGTGTGGAGAGCTCATAGTCCTAAGATGCATCAGTTCTCAAAAGCTCAAACTATTATGGGCAGTGGCAAAGTCCAAGACATCTGGCATGCAACGGGTCCCTATTTCTGCCTTGCACACTGGGGGCCCACAAATATTTCATATACAGTTACAGCACTAAGACTGCCATTGTTCCATTTTTCTGGAATCCAGGGGTTCATGATTTTTCGAGGCTCTGAACTCTTAACGTTCTTCTCCCAAATTGCCAACCCCATACCTTAGAGTGGAACAATAGCCGTTAAAAGTGGAATAATGGTTCTTTAATTCCATTGTGTGGATGGTATTCATTGTGTGGATGGTAATCTTATTACCAGGAATGGAAATTCACTGTGAGTTATCATGGCAAAATGGTGTATCCACTGAAGCTTTATCACCAATCCTTATTTCCACAACAAGCCGAATTTTTCAAAATCCAATGATCACATGGACGGAAAGTGAGGTGAAATCTTCTGAACAGGAGCACAGACGGAAAAATAAATACTGCAGGGGTGCTAACCCTTCCTTATTCTATCCAAAGCTAAAAAAAAAAAAAAGGCTGGAGTTACACTTAAAAATGTGCCTGTTCCAACTTACATACACATTCAACCTAAGAACAAACCCACAGAACCTATCTTGTTCATAATTTGGGGACTGTCTATAGATAATAGTGAAACCTTTTGAAATGAATGATCTCAATAAAATGTTTCCATAGAATTGCCCTGGAGGACTTACGAATTCTGGATATGCAAAACCACGGATAATAGCTAACACTATTAAAGTGCAATACTTTTGACCCAAGTATTGTAATAGAGTCACACGTGAGGACCCACACATTCCTAAAAGAGACATATTTTGTTGGGTGTGGATCAATGAAGCTGGAGACACTGGTCCTGAAAATATGGGGGTCCTACTTTATTTGAATAAGGAAGCAAGGATACCCCAATTAGTTGTACTACACCTTTCAACATCTAGTAATTTGTGAAGAAAAGTTTTATATTGTAAAATAAAGTTTGTATATTCAGGTTGCCTGTTGCCTTATAGCAACAATCCTTCATCTGAAATATACCTACAGCATGTAATCTTTGTTGGTAGTCTCTCATCCAAGTACTAACTAGAGTTGACTCTCTTTAGCTTCCAAGATGAGATGGGATCTAGTATCTTCGGGATATTTAGGCTTCCACTGCACAGAATTTCAGCCCAAGGCTTCAGTCCAATCTTTTACCCATATAGATAGCTTACTAATTGGAACTTTCCTGAATTACCATGTCTAAAATTACACTGATGGAATAAGTTCTGGTGAACATAACATTTATCAAACTCAGACAAAGCCTATAGAAAAATAACATGCCAATTTCATCATTGATGAAACTGGGGGTGGAGTGAAATACTTCCCAGCAAGTAAATCAATACCTGCAGACTGATATTGGTGAATCTCAGATACTGATTTACACTTTGGTGAAAATGAGCCTAAATTGTTTTGGGGATTGCATTCAAAAACTGCATATAGAATACAAGAAAACATAGATCCCTTCCCTGCTACTTGTATTTATATAATTTTAGAATTTGGGAGTCACACAGTTAATTTTTTTATTTACTTAATTTATACCCTACCTTTCGTCCCCATGGGGACTCAAGGCTCCTAACAATCTCACACTTTGGTCATAAATCGATTATGTAGACTCTCTTCCAACCCCCTTCCAGATTTACAGGTTGCACAATTGACTTAGTGAATTTTCTGGCATCACGTGTGGTGATTGCCAGAGGCTTACATTGCTATAAAGCGGATTAGACAAATACATGAAGGATAATTTATATATTAGCCATGATAATTAGTAGGTTTTCCACATTCAGCGCTAGTAGGTCTGTAAATGACATGCTGAGGACAAACAAATTGTTCATGCCACAACGAAAGCTTTCTTGGTCTGCTGGCTATCCCCAAGATAACTAAAGACAGAACAATTTCATTGAAAAATAAAAGGAAAAACATGCTAAAACCCTTTCAGTAATTTTTTTGCTGTAGTTCTGATTATATTCTCATATAAGTGTTGACCTCATGTTGAGGGCAAGTTTGATTTATTTATTTATTTGGTGCATTTATTAACCGCCATTCTCAGCCCTCTAGGGCGACTCATTGCAAATTGATTGCAAATGCTTCTGTAATATGGCTTGCAGAAGAAATGCGACTGATTGCAAATGCTTCTGTAATATGGCTTGCAGAAGTTGACTTCCCAGTCCTCCAAAGTTTGAAAGACAATGCTACATAGACTCGATTATGATATAAAGAATTGAGTGAGGCTTCTTCTATACTTCTACATATAAAATCCAGATTATCTGCTTTGAACTGGATTGTGTAGCAGTGTGGACTCATATTCCAGTTCAAAACAAATAATATGAATTATCTGATTTGATAATCTGGATTATATGGCAGTGTAGAAGGGGTCAGAGAAAGAAAGAGTCTCCAAATGGAACCTTTCGATCTTAAAAATTACTTTGTCTAGATATTTGGAGTTTCCCACATTTTTTTCCAATTTCTGATTTCGGTTGAAGGCTGTTTATGTGGCAGCCAAGGAAATAAGTGGGCAAGAAAGTCAGGTTCAGAAATCTCTTTTCTGTTTATATCCAACTCAAAATATACAAATATTTGTCAGTATTTATTTATTTATTTCGGCACTTCTACCCTGCCCTTCTCAACCCCCGAGGGGGGACTCAAGGCGGCTTACAACCGGCACAATTCGATGCCAACAATTCAACAGATAAATTACATAACAATAATAACCACAATAGTTAAAACAATAAATTAAAACAATAACAATTAAAAGCCAATCTAGTGGTCAATGTTCACCAAGTTCTAATATCCATAAGTCCATTCAGCATTACCATAGTCCATTCCAATTTCTGGTCGTCATTACCTTATCAGTCTGCCAGATTACCCGAAGGCCTGGTCCCATATCCATGATTTCAGCTTCCTTCTGAAGGAGAGGAGGGATGTTGATGACCTAATTTCCCCGGGGAGTGAATTCCACAGGTGAGGGGCCACCACCGAGAAGGCCTTGTCCCTCGTCCCCACCAGCCTCTCTTGTGATAGCGGCGGGGCCGAGAGCAGGGCCTCCCCCGAAGATCTTAAACTCCGAGGTGGGACATAGAAGGAGATACATTTGGACAGGTACACTGGGCCGGAGCCGTATAGGGTTTTATAGGTCAAAACCAGCACTTTGAATTGTGCTCGGAACTGGATCGGCAGCCAGTGGAGCTGACATAACAGAGGAGTAGTATGCTCCCTGTATGATGCTCCGGTGATTAATCTAGCTGCCGCCCGTTGGACTAACTGAAGTTTCCGAACAGTTTTCAAAGGCAACCCCACGTAGATCGCGTTGCAGTAATCTATTCAGGATGTAACAAAAGTGTGGACCACCGTGGCCAGTATAAGTTCATTTGGGGTAGTATTTAAATGACATCTTAATAAAACTGAGAGTATCTTCTAAAATGTAACTAGCAAGGACCTTGGTAGAAAGCTGCATTTTTTTTAGAAAGTCTGTTTGCCCTCAAGGAATAGCCTGCTTTCTGAATACATGATGTTCAAACTGCAAGTGCTACTTTATTTTTTAATTTCTTAGTTTCATGAAATACTAAACTAACAACAATTAAGTAGTTTGATTTTCTTGCCTACCCAATTTTATTCCTTGCCTAAAATATTATTTTTCATATGGTACCGTATATTTCATCAGAGTAAGTCTAATTATCCTGATGTGTAAACTATATTCAGAACAAGAGGCTATAGAAAGGACAAAATATGGACAAACAAAATAATTTCTAATTGGCAAAAGGTTTAGAAGGGTGCATATAACCAGTTTAATTTATATACAGAAAACCAATTAAATTTTGGAGGGAGGACATGTCAAAATTGGAGGAAGAAACATCAGTAATTTAAAATAAGCAGATGAAACAATGCCACTAGAAAAAAAATAGCAAAAACTTAGAAGGTTGCAAGAGAACGTGCAAAAAGAGATTATTACTTACCCATTTTAAACAACGATCACACATTTTCATAGCTTTAAAGTTGTTAATTAATATATCAGAATAGTTAATGTCTTTCTGTACCTTGGTTCAATCATCAGTAAAAATGTTGAAATCAGAAATAAGAAGAATGGAATGTGGAAAGTCAGTAGTGAAGGAACTAGATAAGATTCTAAACTATAGAGATGTGCCATTGAATACCAAAGCCAGGATTACCCATCAAATTTCTATTTATGTTGATGAAAATGGGGTAGTGAATAAAGTTAGACATGAAGAAATTCAGCTCTTTTCAAACAGTACTGGAGGGGATATGCATAAAACCCCTACCTTCATTTAATCAGTCCCTTTTTAGTTTCTTTTTGTTATGCATAAAATGGAAATATCCTCCTCATTCCAAGTATGGAATGGCTACTCTTGTGTATGGCTACTCTTGAACTTAATAGAACATCTAACGACAGCATAAACCTGTTCATTCTCAATAAAAAATGTGATTAAAATTTTAAATAGGTGTGTATAGGACTACAGAATTGAAATGCTAAGAAATGAGGTGTTAAATAGTCTAATAGTATTCTCTGCATTTGTCCATCATATGCTTTTGGAAATGGTCACACAGTGTTACTGGCATGCCACTGCCAGTTGGTATTTGTTGCTATTAGTTTGTGAAGGTTTAATTTTTTGCTTCAATCCCAATTTTGAGAATTTTCATCTCAAGCTTAAACTAAACATATTTGGATAACTGTCCAGTATTGTATGCTTTGTACTCCAGCTTCTCTATAAAATAAACATAAACGGTGATGTGATTTCCTTGCAATCATACATTTGAATAGGGTTCTATCAAAATCTAACTTTAGGATTCTATTAAGATCTGTCAGGTATTGCCTGCTTTGAATGTTCAGATTCTGTATAAAGCATGCATAACCAGTAACATGATTTGATTGCAATCATACAGTTTGACCTTAGGATTCTATCAATATCTACATTGGACTAAAAGTAACAGATTTTAGTATTGCATGATCATTTCCAGATCATGTTCCTCTCTCTTGGGGTACCAGCCTTTTAATGGCAATGACACACTTGTTTTCCGTATTATTTATTAAAAATATAGAATTAGGATAACCTTTGTTGTTTTTTTCCATCACTGAGGGATTATGATCAGGCAGGATACGGTGTACACTTATTCTTTCTGTTTACTTAATTCACATTTTACTTTTAGAAAATCTTGGTCTTATTATATAAACCAGTCCTATAAAACATATCTCTCTCCTAACTATACTAGTTGATTGTTCAGTTGGGCACTTGGGTTTCCCAAACAATCTTCCAGCAGTGCATTATGCAAATGTGTCACTTTGATTGAGGAATATGCTCCCTTTAGAAAATTGATCAATACTGATTTTGCCTTCAGTTTTGGTGCTAAATACAGCTTTTTCTTAAGACCTTTGAGAATTTATCTAGTTTGTTCAAGTGCGTGATTTAACATACATTAAGGTGCTAGATAGTTTCAAATGTTTTTAGATTATCAATTATTTTGCTATTTTTCATTTTAAATAGTTATAAATATTTAAATTCATTTTATAGTGACTTATACAGTATTTTAATAAATATTTTTTTAAATGTATAAGTATTGATTTTTCAGCAGTTTTATCATTTTGTTTAGTAGTGGAGTTTTTTAAAAATGTGTACATACAGTGATGAACGATAGTGCAGTGGGAGATCCTGAAGGGTGAGGCAAAGGAAATCCTTATTCCAAATATGAGAATATTCTGTAGATCAGCATACATAATTTTATAACAACAACAACACCTACTACTACTACTACTTTATTTTTATACCCCACCACCATCTCCGCGAAGGGACTCAGGGCGGCTTACAAGGGGGGCAAGCCCATGTTACAGATAAAAACAGCATTAAAATCAATCAAAGAAAACAACATAATCAAAGACAACATCTTAAAACAATAAGGCTGAGATATCAGTCAAAGCTGGGGTCAGGGTCAGTTAAGTTTTTAACTATGGTCATTCCCTGAGTTACAAACAGCCAACTTACAAATGGCTCATAGTTATAAATTGGGATGAGACAATAGGAAGTGAGAGAAATCTAGCTCTAGAAAGGGAAATTCACAATACCACTTTATTTGTTATTAATGTAAGATGGGTAGTATGTTAAAGTACTTGTGTATCTTAATGTTCATATCCTTTTTTATGCTATTACATTTTCAGACTTAGACGAAGAAATAGAAAGACAAGAAGGTATGGTGTTCTTGACACAAACATAGAAAATACAGAGCTGACGCCATTAGAACAAGATGATGATGAAGATGATACAACACTATTTGATGCCAATCATCCTCGAAGGTTTGTGGCTAGGATTCTGGATTTTTTTGCTGTAAGAGAGAAATAGTTGTATGGATACACATTCATAATCAAAGCACACTGTACTGTAGGTTTGCATCCGTGGATAAAATTAATACTATGAACAGTAAGACACATAACTACATATTTTTAAATTTTTAAATCACCAGGTTATTCATCTCAACTTCGCAGGAAGGATGAAAATCATATGTGTAACATCAGTTCTGCGTCATTCCCTTTCCTTAATTGTCAGTATGAGAAATGAGTCTATTTGTTATGTAAAAATAATTAATGTATACTCCTTTTCATTTATGCATCTCCTTTGTACTCTTGTTCTCCAGAATTAACAAATTGCCACCTGACTATCCTTTTTTTTCATTTGATTTTTAAAAATATATTTAATGTTCTATCAACCATGAATGGCTATGTGGAACTGTGTGAATCCCATGAGTAATCACTAGTTGTGTACGTAGTAGATAAAGTTTGAAACTGCATGGTACCCAGTGGTCTGAATACTATAACTCTAGTAGTTTTAATTTTAGGGAAAGAGTGCATATATTGTTGAAAACAAGTGGTTGGAAGATAGTCTTGACCATAAGCACGTCAAAACTTTTTTCTGCTAGCAGGCATTTGGGGAAGGATAAAGGGGCGGACTTTAGGGAAGTTGCAGATGGGATTGGGGAACTATGCGATTTAAAGACTATTTTAAGCATATTTATTATATTTTAATCTGTTTTTACCACACTGTACTATTTAATTGTTTTCTAACTTTTATATTGCATTTTTTATACTTGACTAAAGTGTGGGATTGTTAGCTGCCTTGAGTCCCCACGGGGAGAAAGGCAGGATATAAAGTTAGATAGTGATGATGGGAAAGAAATAAACCAATTTCTTTCCCATCATCACTATCTAACTTTATACCCTGCCTTTCTCCCTGTGGGAACTCAAGTGGCAGAAGAACAGTGGAAAATGAGTTGAGCGTGCATCAAGTTTTATGTATGCTTAGAAAGAGGCACAAGTATGCTAACTGATCACAGTTTTTGAACCTATCCCTCAGAAGAATTCTGTCCTTACCCTTTAAATTAGGGAGAAATTATTCTGATCCATAATTCAGAAGTTTTTGGATCAGAAATTTTGATCAACTTTATTTTGGCACAATGGTGGCAAATTAATGTAACAAACAAGAGAAGATCAACAGGAATAAGTTCCCTTTTTTATGAAAGATTTTCCAAACAAAAGAATGATTAATTTGTGTATAGAAAGTCTAGTTCATTAAGGATTCCTATATCTGGGAACTGAATGTTTAAATAGTGTAGGAATGATGTTAGCTAAATATTAGATATTATGAGGCATGTAATAATGTGAAATCCTACTGCTAATTTCAAGTGGGATGCAAAGATTTGTTTTGGAAGTATGTCAAGGTGTCATTTGGACAGATTATATTCAAATAACATTTTCCTTTTTTCCTAGATAAGTGCCTTTTGAGAAAGGTTTCCGATTGCAGAGCAACAGAAGAAGGTGGTTCAAAAGGAATAAGAAGCCAATATTGAAACTGGGAGGGGGGGGGGGGGGTTATAAAAATGATGTATATATTGTATTATGATATCCTTTAGTTTGTTGCAATAAACTCTTAACATTTTATTCTATCTTTTGTATATATATATATATATATATATATATATATATATATATATATATACAGAATTATTTTCAGTTCAAGCCTATGGAAATAGCACACTAAACTTTAAACCTATTTTAAACAGGGTATTTTCTGTTCATTTGCTGTATTGTGGTCTTCTCTTGTGAGATACATTTGTGAGTTTCTTAGCCAACATTTTTAAGTATGTCAAATGTAGTAACTTATTTATGTGATTTTTTTGAAACAAGTCTTTCATTTACTAGCACTGCCTTGCCAAATTTAATCACTTATGTCTCTGAGGAATGTTGATTTTTTTTTAAAGGGGGTGGTTAACATGGATATACACTGTAGGTCTGTGAGAGTGATGCAAATAAATGTTTACAGTATTCCTAATATTGAACACTTGTTATGTTTTTGCTGAGTTTAGGTTTTTTGACTCAAAAATGGAAAGAATTTTCAGACATTTTCAGGCAACCAGATTGTTAACTGAGGCTGATTACAAAGAGCACATGGTTTTCTTACAACAGCTCCGGTAGCTATCGCAGTATGGCATATAAACCATATATGGCTTGGACTAGGCAATCTGAAAGACTGCATCTTCTCGTATCAGTATATCTAAGTTCTGGGATGATCTTATCTGGGTCCCTTCATCCTCAACCCTATTTTTGGTGGGTGCATGGAATAGGTGTTTCTTGTTGACTGACCCCAAGCACTAGAATTCTGTTCTTATTGAGATTATACTAACTCATTGCTGGTCTTCCAAGTGGAAACAGACTGCAAAAATTTCTAATAGTGTCTTCTCCAGATTTCATTCATTTTAATGGAAACATTTTAAATGTTTTTAATATCTTGTAATGATGCACATTGAATTTTTTAACATGGAGGCCCCTCCCTCCTTTGGCACCAACTGCTGCTCTAGCCAGAGTGAAGACAGAGGGGAGCAGAAGACATTTCCATCTTGTCTTCCGCCTATATAATCAGTTGGGAGGCCTCTCCCCGCTCTGGCACCAACTGCTACTCTGCTGAGTGAAGACAGAGGGGAGCAGAAGACATTTCCATCTTGTCTTTACTAATAATATAATATAGTATATTGTATATACATATAATATTTATAATTATATAACACTATAATTATAATTATATGAAGGAAGACAAGGTGCAAAATGAACACCCAAGCCCTTCAGGAGCCCTCCAGACGAGCCCATCTCCAAACAGCACTCAAGGACCATCTACCCACAGTACACCCCGAAAAGTGTCGAGGAACATTGGAACAAACTGAAGACCTCCATCATCCAAGCCTGCGAAGAAGCTATTGGATACCAAGCCAAGAAACATCAAGACTGGTTTGATGAAAATGACATCGAGATCCAACAGCTAATTGACAAGAAAAGGAAAGCCTTCCAAGCATGGCAGAGAGACATCAACTGTGCTGCTAAGAAAAAGATCTACGCCAGTGCAAAAGCTGAGGTCCAAAGAAGGACAAGAGAACTCAAGAACATCTGGTGGACAAAGAATGCTGAAGAAATCCAACACCTGGCAGATACCCATAATGCTCAGGGATTTTTCAAAGCCACAAAGGTCATCTATGGACCAAGAAACCATGGCATACAGCCTCTACGCTCATCAGATGGAACCAAACTCCTGAAGGACCAAAACTCAATTGCACTACGTTGGAAGAACACTACCAAAGCCTCCTGAACCGCAGCTCCAATGTGGCCGAAGAGGTCCTCTCACAAATCCCACAACAACAAACCAGGGATGAGCTTGCAGCACTGCCTAGTTTGGAAGAAGTCAGCAATGCCATCAGCCAACAGAAGAATAACAAAGCCAGTGGACCAGATGGGATCCCTGCTGAAATCTTTAAAGAGGGAGGACCTGAGCTGACACACCAACTCCACCAGCTCATAGAAAAAGTGTGGGTGACCGAGAAAATCCCAGCAGATTTCAAGGACGCCACCATCATCACCCTCTTCAAAAAAGGGGAAAGAACAGACTGCGGAAACTATCGAGGTATCTCCCTTCTAACCTCCGCTGGGAAAATCCTCGCAAGAATCCTTGCAAACCGCCTTCTGCCCCTCTCAGAAGACACCCTCCCAGAATCCCAGAATGGCTTCCGCCCCTTCAGAGGAACAGTGGACATGATCTTCACTGCAAGACAGCTCCAAGAAAAATGCAGAGAACAAAACCAACCTCTGTACATGGCATTCATCGACCTTGCAAAGGCATTCGACACAGTGAATCGCAGCGCTCTCTGGACCATCCTCCACAAAATCGGGTGCCCAACAAATTTGTGAACATCCTGCGGCTCCTCCACGATGACATGATGGCAACAGTCTTGGACAGCAGTGGCTCCCAAAGTGACCCATTTAAGGTGGAATCAGGTGTCAAACAGGGATGTGTTATTGCCCCAACTCTATTCTCCATCTTCATCGCTATGATACTTCACCTTGTTGATGGGAAGCTTCCCACTGGAGTGGAAATCATCTATCGGACAGATGGCAAGCTATTTAACCTCAGCAGACTGAAAGCCAAAACCAAGGTTACAACATCTGTTATAGAACTCCAGTATGCTGATGACTCTAAACACCTTCAAAGAAGCATATGAGAAGCTCGGCCTGTCATTGAACATTGAGAAAACCAAAGTGCTCGCTCTTCCAGCAGTCACCAGCCAATCCCTCTCCAATGCCAGAGATACAGCTTAATGGTGTAACATTAGAAAATGTTGACCATTTCCGTATCTTGGCAGCCACCTCTCCACCAAAGTCAACATCGACACCGAAATACAACACCGCCTGAGCTCTGCGAGTGCAGCATTTTTCCGAATGAAGCAGAGAGTGTTTGAGGACCGGGACATCCGTAGGGATACCAAGGTGCTTGTTTATAGAGCTATTGCCCTCCCAACCCTGCTATATGCCTGTGAGACTGTCTACAGACGTCACATGCAACTCCTGGAACGATTCCATCAGCGCTGCCTCGGAAAATCCTGCAAATCTCCTGGGAAGACAAGCGGACAAACGTCAGTGTGCTGGAAGAAGCAAAGACCACCAGCATTGAAGCGATGGTCCTCCAACATCAACTCCGCTTGGCCGGCCACGTTGTCCGGATGCCTGACCACCGTCTCCCAAAGCAGTTGCTCTACTCTGAACTTAAGAACGGAAAACAGAACGTTGGTGGACAGGAAAAGAGATTTAAAGATGGGCTCAAAGCCAACTTAAAAACTCTGGCATAGACACTGAGAACTGGGAAGCCCTGGCCCTTGAGCGCTCCAGCTGGAGGACAGCTGTGACCAGCAGTGTTGCAGAATTTGCGGAGGCACGAGTGGAGGGTGAAAGAGAGAAACGTGCCAGGAGGAAGGCGCGTCAAGCCAACCCCGACCGGGACCGCCTTCCACCTGGAAACCAATGGCCTCACTGCGGAAGAAGATGCAGAGCAAGAATAGGGCTCCACAGCCACATACGGACCCACAAGGAAATCCATAATGGAAGACCATCTTACTCGTCCAACGAGGTATGCTAATAATATATTGTATATACATATAATATTATAATGTAATGCAATATAATACTAATACTATATTATAATTGTATATTTTATATTACATGTAATATTACTAATAATACTACAATATAATGGTATAGTGCAATATAGTAATACATAATACTGAGATTGTACTATGCTAATAATATATTGTATGAAAATATATCTTGTAAGCCGCTCTGAGTCCCCTTCGGGGTGAGAGGAGCGGCATATAAATGCCGTAAATAATAATAATCCTTGTCCTGATATTAAGGTGCCTTCTCACATACATGTGCTTGAACTGAGTTTTCCATATTTTGTTATTTTGCAAACTGGAATTTAAATGTATTTCACTGGTGTTTTCACCACTTGTGTTACCACTTGATTGACACAAGATATGCAACACTGAAGGTGCCTGATACTGTGCTATAGGAGTGAAGTAAGCAAGAACCTGGTTGCTGCAGTGGTTGCAGTACTCCCTTTAGTTCCCAGCTGGCAGACATTGCTAAGCTTCCCAATGACAAGATAGAGGCAGACTTATGCTATTCATTTTTCTGTAATACGGCTTCAAGGCAGTTCTAAATGTTGCTTCCCTTGATCTCTATGTTTAAAATGAAGAAAGTACTCCAATTTGATAATTTGGGTAAAAAAAAGTAAGCAGAAGGAAAGGCATATATGAGCACTAGGGAAGACAGAAAGTCCAGAAAGATTATTTTTAAGAAGAAAAGATAGGGGAGAAAAGAGGAGCACTAGAAAGAAGAACATACTTTGAAGAAAAACCTAAGATTTCTAACTCTTTATAACCTGAGACCTTTTAGATCATCTAATATTACTTTTCAAAATGCAGTGTCATAGCAAATATGTGTTTTTCCTTAATTTGTATGTTTTAAACCAATGACAGAAAGTATGTGATGCACCCTCTTGTTTACCACCTGATCCTGTATATGTTCACTTAGAAGAAACCATTGATTTAAAGGGAAAATGCTTCCATTGAAATGTGTGCTTCACTCTGGAGTGTTTGTCAGGCTTTAATTATGTTACCTCAAATGACAGCAATTCAAGCAAATAAAATCCATCTGCATGGCTGTTGTTTATACTGGCATGTTGCCGCAAGGGTTTTCTTTGATTTGTTAGATCTTTCTACAGTGGAAGCAAGATTAAAGCTTAAGAATTGGAAAATGAGAAAGCCACCTGCATAATTCGGGGCAAGGAGAACAATAGTACTGGGCATAATGTTTTAGAGAATTGGACATAAACTTAACAAGCTCATGGCTACCCTCTGTTAACAGATGCCATGACCCTGTGTAAAATACACCAACCCCTAACTCCCACGGTATAGTTCAACATTTTCAAGCAACATACCATAACATGGTGTCTCATGATCATCAAAGCCTGCATTGAAATGCACAATGCAGAAGTTGTCAAACAACTACAGTTATGAAACAGGAGTTCCCCAAGGAAGTATACAGAGTTTCACTGAGATCAATGCTA